CACACACACACACTTCGTTACAGTTCAGCCCTAGAAACTGCTCGTAACCTCAGACAAGCATTGTCAAGCCCTACAGCGGTCTTCATGAAACCCTCGAGCATCCCTTGCAAAGGTGTGTAAATATCACATCGTCAAAAATTAAGACCTACATAAACTCTTCAAAGAAATCCCAATGAGATTCTACATAAAACGCGTCGTGAGCATGTTCACGGGCGTATGATCCAGAAACTCTGGGTCTTTATTGGTGCTCCTTGTGTGAGTCTAACTACTTTTTGGGGTTATAGGGCCATGGAATCTTAATCCTAAACCCTGCAAGCCCTAAACCCTAAGCCCTGACTCTTTCATTAGGTTTGGGTGCTCCTTCTAAAGATCACTTAATTCCCTAAGGCTCAAAATAGCCCAAGAGCCTTCTATAGCATGGTCTTTGGGCCCAAAAGCCTTCAAATCTGAGTCCTTAGAGGCTTAGGGATTCAGAGCATACCTTATGTTTTGAGGGATCTTGCTATAGCCTGAAAAGGTATATTCCTTAATCAGGGGATTTTGGAAGGTCTGGGGAAAAGCCTTGCGCAGACACACTTTGAGAGCTCATCGCCATAGTATCATGTTCCCGACAAAACCTTGTCGCAAGGTGCTGTCGCCCATGCGCTAATCCACGGCAAACCCCAAGCTCTAAACTCTAGGCCCTAAACCCTAAACCCTAAATCCTAAACCCTAAACCCTAAATCCTAAACCATAAACTGTAAACCCTAGCCCCAAACCCTAAACCCTAAACCCTAAACCCTAAACCCTAAACCCTAAACCCTAAACCCTAAACCCCAACCTTTATAGGAAACCCACCATATTGCTGGTTTAAATTCTGTCTCGGTCCTCGGATCCAGCTCGGCAAGGATGCTGGGCACCAGCCCGGCGCAGGAGATCTGGTCAGGCAAGGCGATCGCGGGTTTAGGGTTTAGGGTTTAGGATTTTGGGGCTTAGGGTTTAGGGTTTAGGGTCTAGGGTTTAGGGTCTAGGGTTTAGGGTTAAGGGTTTAGGGTTTGTTGCTTCGGGTTTGGGGTTTCGGGTTTAGGGAGGGTTTGGGGCTTAGGGTTAAGGGTGTTTAGGGTTCAGGGCTAAGGGGGTGATGTTAGTTATTGATGCTTAAGTCGTGTAAACTGAAGCATATTCCTCAATTCAGGGGAACAACCCTAAACCCTAAACCCTAAACCCTAAAACCCTAAACCCTAAACCCTAAACCCTAAACCCTAAAACCCTAAACCCTAAACACTAGGCCCTAAACCCTAAACCGTTTGGGCTCTCTGATCTCCCCCTTCCTTCCATCGCCCCACGACCCCAAGCTGGGCTGCCTCTTGTTCCTTGATGATCTTCGCCACGTCCTCGGACGATCGTGCCTGCCAAAAGGTTGAGGGTTTAGGGGTTTAGGGGTTTAGGGTTTAGGGTTTAGGGTCTAGGGTTTAGGGAGACAGTATAGGAGCCTTAAGACTCGAAAAAACAACTCGGGTATGCTGTAGTAGAACAAGACAAGGAACGGCAAGGGGGTGTTGAACAATCCGTAAACGAGGTCTTTACCTTAACTCATTCGGGGGCCCCTACATTGATCTGAAGGGTTCTGTGCCTTAAACTTATCAGCGGATGCGGCACTACCGACAGAGCCTCTTTAAACCGGAAAACCTTGTCCTAGATTGAGAGGCCCTTACCTGAAACCTTAAACCCCAAACCTAAACCCAAACCTAAACAGCAAACCACCCCAAAGCCTAAACCCTAAAACCTACCCTAAAACCTAAACCCTAAAGCCTTAACCCTCAACCCTATAGTACCCTGACGGAGCCCTTCACAGAATCCTTAAAGGAGCCCTTAGAAGGAGCCCTAAACTATAAGGACCAGAAAACCTACTACACCATAAAAAGCTAAACCCGAACCCTATGGTACTCTTACAGAGCCCTTGAAGGAACCCTTAAGCCCTAAACCCCCGAACATGAACCCTAAACCACCCTAAAGCCTGAACCCTCAAACCTGCCTTAAGACCTATAAACCCTAAACCCTATAGTACCCCATCGGAACCCTTAAAGGAGCCCGCAGAAGGGCCCTACCGTTCGTGTCTCTTCGACCTCCGCGCCTCACAGAAGACCAGGGCAGATCCAAAGCTGAGGGCGATGTCCTGAAAGAAGGGTTTCTAGAAGGGTTTAGGGATTCGGGCTTAGGAAAGAAGGGCTTTATAAGGGTTACTGCACGGGTTGCTAGAAGGGTTTTAAGGGTTCCTTTAGAAATTACTAGAAGCGTTCTATACGACCTTTCGGTCACGGTGGTACAGGGGCTTTAGTTCATAGACCAGTGGCCTGATAACTGGCAATGATGTCCTGGAAGTTAAGACAGGGGCCTTAATATTATTGGGTTGAAAGCTTAGGGTAAGGCTTTAGGGTTCAAGGTTGAGGGCTCAGTTGGCTTTAGGGCTACAATGCAGGGACAATAATAATTAGAAACGGTTTAGGGTTTAGGGTTTAGGGTTTAGGGTTTAGGGTTTAGGGTTCCTTGAAAGGATGTCCTGAAAGTTATGGGGACAGATGGTTTCAGCTTTCCTCTAAGGGTTCTTTTAAGGGTTCCTTTCAGGGTTCCTGTAAGGGTACTATATGGTTTCTGTTCAGGGCTTAGGGGTTCCGATTTCAGGATCAGGGTTTAGGGTTGAGGGCTTAGGGTTTAGTGATTAGGGCGTAAAGTTCGGGGTACAAAAACAGCTCTTCCCACTGTTGCGTCGTATCAACGAGATTTTTCAACGTTAGCCATCTCAGTTGCACTCAACCTAGACTGTCTCCCAACCATTCTCACGGCCAAGATCGAACTTCCAATCCAGTTTACCTGGATATTCACAACGTTCGTCATGAAACTAAATGAGGAAGGGGCATCTATACTGCAACACTACATCACTTGTGGAAGTAGCAGAAAGAAGTATTCACAACCTTCGTCATGATGAGCAATTGGTCTTCCATGTTGTACCTCAGTCACATGGAAGACGCATCGTCATAGGACCCAGTATATCCCTCTGTCGCGGTGGCGAGCCAGGACTCATCTCCCATGCTTCCCGACCAGGAATCTACCATTTCCCGCATGCTGTCCATACGGTAGCACCAGCATTCACTCCCATTTCCCCGCATTCTTCTTCAGTCGGTAGGAACCACTGCAATCTGCTCCAGGACGCGGCTGGCGCGAGCTTTCCAATGCCCGGTCGTTTCGACAACTAGAGGCACGAACTGGACGCCTTGCGCCTGACATGCCGCTGCGGTACCAAGGTGGTCTGCATGCTGGCCTGGGCAAGGGTCGCCTGTCGCTGCGGCGCCGTGACGGCGAAATCACATGCAACAGGTAATTCAAGCCAGGCGGGCAGGTACAGTTTAGGGTTGAAGGCTTATGCTTTTGGGTTTAGGAAATAGGGTCTAGGGTTTAGGGTTGAGGGTTTTGGGGTTAAGGGCTTCGGGTGTAGGGTCTTTTTTGAGAGTAGGGTCTTGAGTCTTGGGTTTAGATATTACTACGGTTCCGGGTTCGACCATATCATCGCTGCACACAAACCAGGGACTTCATGTTGTGGAGTCAGTTTTCTTCGATTACTATAGGGTCCCGCAGGGTTGTTGACAGGGGCTCTTTCGGGTGACAGGAGGGCTTCTAGAGGGCTGTTTTGGTTTATGAGGAGACTGTTGGCTTCGGATTTGCCTTAGGGTCCTTTTTACAAGGGTGCCGTACTATAAATGGGACCTAAAAGGACCCTAGTTTAGAGTACTACCCATATGAAGCCTGGGCTGGATTTGATGTTGCAGCCTCCGACTCTGCACCCAAGTGGCAATTTCTCCAGCCATGCTGGCCATCCAGTACACTGAGTGTTGTTGCAACACTCCTTAGTTGGCTTAAAGGCTGCAGGTTACGGGGAATGTAGGAGCCTTCATAAATAGACTATGGTTTTGGTGGTATATTATACCATAATTATGATAAGGAGCCCCCAAGTATAGGTAATTATTAATGGTCCTGTTGTAACCCTAAACCCTAAACCCTAAGCCGCCTATATTCAGATCAGTCCCAACCCCTGAACCCTTTCCCTGAACACCGGGCCCTTACATCCCAATCTGACAGCCTTGAACCTAACCCAAACAATTGGAACCCTAAGCCCTCAACCCCTAAACTCTAAACTCCTAAACCCTGAACCCTGTACCTATAAATCCCAAGAGCACCCTGGAACTCCAAAAATCAGGCTCACCTCTTTGGTTTGACGTCGGCACTCCAGGTGTACCCTACGAAATGAAGAGCCAATACTTAGGTTCAACGTGACGTTGCGTGCCGGCGACGGCGTGGGGTAGGGTTTTAGAGCCAGCCGCGAGATACTCAGGGAGTACACGGATACTCTTAAATCCTGAAACCCTGAACTCCCAACACCATCAAACACCCATTAGGGTTAAGGGCTTAGGGTTTAGGGACACCCATAAAAACCTCAAGTTCTGAACCCCTACTAGAAAGCAACATGGACACAAACAAGCTCGCCAGACGGAGGTCTGGGAGAACCAAAGACCCCTAGACCGAACTTGCACCCTCAGTAGTAGGATCCTTCTTAAGACAGACCCTCTCTTCTTCAGCAACCAGGCCCAAAAAAGTTCAAACTTGTTGGGATAGACCTAACACATAAGGCCAACAAGTTTAAAATTTTCCCATTGGCTATCTAAGGACCACGAAAAGGTACCCCCCAATTTTCTGAGCCCCTCCACCAACCCTCGCAAAACTCTCGGAAAAACATCCTTAAGTTGATTCAAAAAGCACCAAATCAAACTGAAAAATACCCACCTCACAACCTATCGAGTCTAGCCGGCCATTAAGAAGTCGCCCAAGGCCCAAGAACGGTCCAAAGGTGGATGCTTGGACCCGTAGTTTAGGGTAAAGCCTGAACCCTAAATCCAGACAAGGCACGACCCTTCTCCAACCGGACGACCTCTGGATACTTGCTGATTTCCTGGGCTCGATAAGGCTGCGACATGAAGGAAGCGGAAAAAGTAAAGGGGTGAGAGTTCAGGGTTTGGGGGTTGGCCCTCGTGGAACAAACGTTCATTCAGCCCTACACCCTAAACTCCGAAACCTTAAACCCCTAAACCCCAAAACCCTAAACCCAAATCCCTAAACCACTAAACTCATGAGGTTTGGGTTTAAGGTTCGTGGCCTGCTTTGAGCAAAGGCCCCCTGGGTCTTCAAGACTGTCCGGAATCCCCTAATTATAGAATATACCGTAAATCAGGATAGGGATACTCCTGTAGTTTACGGGATAATTCTTATAGTACCCTAAACCCTAAACCCTAAACCCTAAACCCTAAACCCTTAAAGATCCCTTTAAGGAACCCTGAAGGGTATAATTATTCCTTAATTACGGGGTAGCCTTAAACCCTAGACCCTAAGCCATGTTCCCTAAGCCCAAACCTTTATAGATCCCTTTAGGGAGCCCTAAAAGGTATAATAAAGGGGCCTGAGTAGTTAGAGTAGGGTTTTCGGGCCCACTATTCTATGGTTATAACGCGGAAGCCCCAAAATAGTGTTGGAAATTCTTCCCGAAACCCTCAACCCTAAAACCCAAAACCCCAAAATAAAATAGGTAATTGTTAAAGCCCCTACATCCCCAAACCCTAAACCCTAAACCCTAAACCCTAAACCCTAAACCCTAAACCCTAAACCCTTTTTTGAGTGACTTGGGGAAGGTCTGGGCTCTCGGTCTCTAGGGCTTGCCAGGGCTTCGGTTGCTTTAGGGCATCTTAGGGTTTAGGGTTTAGGGTTTAGGGTTTAGGGTTTAGGGTTTAGGGTTTAGGGTTTAGAGTTTAGATGTTAAGTTGAGGGCTTAGGGTCTCGGGTTGAGGGTTTGGGGCTTAGGGTGTAGGGCTTAGGATTTAGGGTTTAAGGTTTAGGGGGTGAACCCTGGTATCAAGCACAAACACGATGAGGCTCTGTTTCGAAAGGATCTGAACACCCGAAACTCCCTAACCCCAAGCCCCCAAACCCTGCAAGCCCTAAGCCCCTACTTATTTTAAAATCCTAAACCAAAAACCCTCAAGCTCTTAATCCCCCTAAACCTGATCCCTGAACCCCACACTGCAAACAGCACCTGGATACAGGTCTCTGGGCTACTTTGGGAGTACCATGATTTACAAGGGTTCCATTCAGGGTTCCTTGTTTCCAAAGGCCAGTCTAATTTTTAGGGCTTGTAAGGTTCAGGGTGTCGATTTCGTGTTGCTTCCAAACCTTCTAACGATTTAGGGTTTCGGGTTCAGGAGAACCCAAGCTCTAAAGACCCTAAAAGTTCATAGGCTAAGCCTGACAAGCCCGCAATGCCACACAATCCCCAGCCAACACCGTAAACCCTGAACCTTAAACCCTAAAGCGCTAAACCCTGAAACCCTGAACCCTGCTTTGCAGCTCAGCCACCCACAGAGCCATTGCATGCGTCGCGGCACAGCAACGCGATTGTCCTGTGGTGCCTCTGATACGGTAGCAGGGTCAAGGGTGGGGCTAGAGATTTAGGAGTTTCCGAAAACAAGGGGTACCAAAATTTGGGGCGGGGCCATTATAGGAAGGATCCTACTATTTAGGGTACTATATTAGGGTCCCCTGTTTTCGGAAACCCCCATTTCGGGATCCCTAGAATTGACGGTTTAGTTTTCAGCCATGTAGGGGCAATGTAGGGGGTTTATACAAATTGTTTAGGGTCCAGGTCCTGAGTTTTGACCGGGTTTTGTGTGGGTTTTGACAGGGCTTTGTGCGGGTTTTGCCTTTTGCTTTTGCTCAATTTTACTTCCCAAACAATTTGTGTTTATCCTGGGCTTGAGGGTGTAGGGTTTAGGGTTTAGGGGGGAGTCTCGGATCAAGATTTACGGTTAGGGGTTCGCGGCTCAAGGACGTGGGGTAGTTTGTTGAATTGAGGGTCGGTTGAAAGCCCTGTCGGAAAGCCGTATAGGAACCTCTTATGGTACTCCTAACGGAACTCTCATAATTAGTCATGGACACCTTCATGAGCCCCTTGAAACCCCTTAAATACAAACCCTATACCCTCTAAACCCTAAACCCAAAGCCCTAAACCCTAAACCCAAAGCCCTAAACCCCTAAACCCTAAACTCTAAACCCGTAAAAGCCGTAAGCCCAAAGCCCTCCTTATTGAAGGAGCCCTGTCTTCAGGCCTCCCGTGTACTGGTAGCAGAGGACTGCAGTCTCATCGGCTGGAGCTGGGTAGAACACGCTTTGTCGACTCCTTCCTGCGAAACCGGGAGTTTTAGGAGTTAGGATTTAGGGCTTAGGGGTTTAGGGTTTAGGGTTTAGGGTTTAGGGGTTTAGGGGTTTAGGGGTTTAGGGGTTTAGGGTTTGGGGTTTAGGGTTTAGGGTTTAGGATTTGGGCTCCTTTAAAGGTTCCTTTTAAGGGCTCCTTATAGGGTGTAGGGAATAAGATTTAGGGCTTGGGTCTTGGAATTAGGGCCTACGGTTTAGGGTTTAGGTTTTAGGGGTTAGGATTTGGGGTTGAGTATTTAGGGGTTTGGGGGTTTACGGCTTAGGATTTGGGGTTTCGGGTTTGGGGTTTGGGGTTGGGGAGGGATTGGGGTTTGGGGTGGGGGAGGGATTCGGGTTCAGGGGTTTAGGGTTTAGGGTTTAGGGTCAGGGAGTTGGGACTAGAGAAGGTTTAGGGTTTAGGGGTATATCTTGATCCCAAATGGCTCGGAGAGGTATAAACCCTAAACTCTTAACAATTACAACATAAGACTCTAGACCTTGAGCCCGAATCCGTACTGCAAGACTTTATTGAAATATCGCACTCAAAATCCTGAAACCCTAAACCTTTTCATGATATGATAAGTCCTGAGGACCCGCAGCAAGTAAATCCAAATCCTTCTGAGAAGCGGCTCGGTTTAAGGTTTAAGGTTTAGAGACCGCTCATCCCAACAACACGAGGTACTTAGTGCGGTTTAGGGTTTAGGGTTAGTGCCCTTTTAAATTGAGACAAACCCAGAGGCTCCATATGTACTGCTGTTGCGGAATTAGGTCCCCCGAACCGCTACAGGATGGTCTTCTGGGATCCACCTCCATAAGGATAGTGTATACGAGCCCTCTGGCAATAGATGCAGCACTTCTTCTTGAATGAGTTATAGTTATTCTATGGCTAGGATCCCATTTAAGACAGTAAGGTAACCAAACAAGGTACTACACTTAAGGATTTACGGGTCTAGGTAGGCTTTAGGATTTAGCGGTCAAGGCTTAATGATCCGAGACTGTAGATGGGTTTCGGGTCTTATAAGGGTCATTTCAGGCATCAGAAACTGAAACCCCAAGTAACACCCCTCAACAATCCGTGCTGAGGAAGGTAGCCAGGCAAGTATACCCTAAACCCTAAACCCTACACCCTAAACCCTACACCCTCGACCCCTAAACCCTAAATCCACATGACTCACGACCCCGAGCCTGAGCTGAGCCGACGACAAGAGATGGGAGCCCCAACCCCTAAACTCCAAATGTGCATGCTTTCATATTGGGTTTAGGGTTTAGGTTTAGGATTTAGGGATTGGCAGAGGTAACTATGCCGATTGGTTCGACCACAGACTCATGGATGTCTACCCGAGTCTACCCAGGCTTCTTTGCGAACATGTCCGGGGCATTTCGCGCGCTGGAACTGCCTCTGGGCTCTGTCTACTTGTGCTAGCTTCGTAGCCAAGCTTCTGAGTGAGTGCTGGCTGTAATCCAGATCTTGGTCCTCCTTGCAAAAGACGCGGAAGTAGGCATGGGGGAGGCACACGGCGTGGTGCATCTGAGACCAATCTATAGGCACTTCGAGCTCGTCCCGAACCCGAAACCCTAAACCCAAAGGTCTAACCTACACTATCGCGGAGCCCAAAACCCAGACGTATGGGAGACCTCCCCACGTCACTCACCGTTAGCACCACACCGAAAATCCTCAACAGTCGACCCGCAGCCCTGAATACAAGGTGGCCTTAGTGATTGAATTGGAATTTGGGGCCTACTATCGGTAGTATGGAACTCCAAGGAATAGTGGTCATAATTCTATAGACCCCATTCCCTAAACCCTAAACCGAAAAACCCTCAACCCCAAACCCAAAACCCCAAAACCCTAAACCCTAAACCCCAAAACCCTCAACCCCAAACGCCAAACCCAAACCCCTTAAACTCCAAACCCGAAACCCTAAACCCAAAACCCCAAAACCCCAAAACCCTGAACCCCAAAACCCTCAACCCCAAACGCCAAACCCAAACCCCTTAAACTCCAAACCCGAAACCCTAAACCCAAAACCCCAAAACCCTAAACCCTAAACCCTAAACAAAAAAACCCTAAACTCTCACCCCTTAAACCGCAAACCCTAAACCCTCAACTCCCTCAGCCCTAGGATGCTGCCTTGGGCCAGGAGCTCCTGGAAGTTGATGTGAGGCACCGCGGCAACCTGCGGGATTAGGGCAAAGTCTGTTAATTGTTTGTGTACGTGGACCCTTCGGGAAGTAATACGGCTGTAAATCCGAGACCCATGAGCAAGATCAGAGCGGCCCCTCGCATGTGAGCTCTGCACCATAACTCACGATGCACCAAACCCTCAGCCTTAAACCATTATAGTTTTGGGTTCTAATGTAGGGGCCTTAATAATTAGAGTAGGTTTTTGGTGATTCCTTATTGCAATAATAATCTAATTTACCCCCAAACCCTATTCTAATTATTAAGGCCCCTAGATTACTTATTTTCGTCTAGGCTTAGGGCTTAGGCTGATTAGGGCTGAAGGTTCACAGCATTGATGAAGCGTAGGTCGTCGCGGAAATACTCCATCTTTGGCGAAATCCTGACCTAGACCCCTAACAACTCTAAGCCCTAGACTCTAAACCCTAAACCCTAAGCCCTAAACCCTATACCCTATAATCCTAAATTCTAAACCGTAAACCCTAAACGCTAAGCCGTTCGGAGCTCGGCGCCGGCGAAAGCCCAGGCCAGATCTGCAATGATGCCCTCATATGGTCCTTCCTTTTGGGGGTTTAGGGTTCAGGGTTCAGGGTTTACGGTTGAGGGTTTAGGGCACATGGTCACGATGGTCCTTCCCTTTTTGTGGGTTTAGGGCTTAGGGCTTTGGGTTCAGGGTTTAAGGTTTAGGGTTTAGGGTATGTGGTCTCTATGGTCCTTCCTTTTTAGGGTTTAGGGTTTAGGGTCTGAATGGTCGTTCCTTTTTGGGGGCTTAGGGTTTAGGGTTTAGGGCTTTGGGTTTTAGGGTGCAGGGCTTATGGTCTCTATCGTCGTTGCCTTTTCGGGCTACCTTAGAGGATCCTAACCATTAAATTTTGGTTAAACGACAAATACTATGGGAACCATAGAAGCCTTCATGATTCTAACGAAAACTTCTTCGGTTTAGGGTTTAACGTAGGGGCCTTAATTATTAGAATAGACTTTTTGGGGGGGGCGCATCATGCTTTAACTACCCTAAACCCTAAACCCTAAACCCTAGTCATAAT